TATCAATCATGAACGCTAATCTTACCGTAAATCTCTCCCGAGTAATCACAGTAATTTACTATTGCACTCTCCCGAGATACACTAGCTTACTTTATTTAGCACAATTCAATTTAGATTGCACCCAAGGCTTCGTTATTCCTAATCCCGCCTTTAAACCCGCAATTATAGATTCCTCTAATAATCTAGGAGTGGTGTTGTTCAACAATACCCTAAATATGCACTCTTTTCCAAGTTATGCACACTAAATAGGCACAGCTAATTGAGGATCCTGTCAATTAACTACAACGAACACGAAGTTGAACAAATAGAGATTAAACTAGCAATTTGTATTCACATAAACAAGAAGTTCATCACCCAATAGGTTCCATCAAAATCTTAGACAAGGAATTTAGCTACTCATGACTATGGGAAAATAAACTAAGCTTGAATTCATCATAAAATCAAAAGAAAAGAAGAAAGATGTTTAGAGTACTTTCTCACAATTGTTTTCCTTGCTAAGAAACCTAAAAAAATCAATACATGCCTCTCTTGGGCGAAGTCTAATGTTTTAAATAGGGTTTAGGTCTAAAAATCCCGTAATTGACACTTTGGTCCCAGAAGTTTCTGCGCCTGCCGCGGTTCTGCCGCGGTCGCGGTAGAACCGCGGCCAAACACCCTCGCGGATTCTCACAACTTCTGCAGCTGCTTCCCACCGCGGTTCTGCCGCGGTCGCGGTGAAACCGCGGTGGATCCAGTTCTCTGAATCTTCGGCCTGTTTTTGCACGGGTCACTTAGGAAATTTCACAGTTGGCCTCTTTTTCATCACTTTTGACTCCAAAACTGCTCCTTAGCCGTCTTTATACATATATCACCTACAAATCATGAAAAGCACTAATAAGAGCATTTTGTCATCACTTTTAGCATTAAAACTACACAAGAAGGTGATTATTTAAGGTGTGATTATAGTCAAATTCACCTATTATCAATCCGCATTGGAGTCCAACTATATCCGGAGTCGCGCTGCGTAGGGCTCCATTCGAGGGAAAGCGCTCCCTACCAAGGGTTTTTCCATACCCGAGGCTCGAACTGGAGACCTCTGGTTAAGGGAAGAGCAGTCATATCCACTGCACCACATTCTTTGGCGGTCCCTAGTTATTACTGATGTCATATGAAGTTGAACATAAAGAGAATATAAATTTGAAAAATTCCATCTCTTTACGCATATGATCATAACAAATAGAAAAAAAAATCTGTCAATTTTATATCTTTATTACCAGTTATAGTAACTACATAAAATATTGACGTCATAATCTAATTACTGTGTTAATTTCCCAAAATAACCAATTTTAACAACTCAGCATAATGAGAATGCTTTCTATTCCATATAAAACTTCTCCATACCACTGGATTTCTCTCAACAGACACCTCCTCTAATTTTTTCAATGTTCCTTTTCTCATCCAAAATTTTCAAGATTCATCATTTCCCATAATGTTTTAATCATAAATCCATGTTACAGAAAATTCATTAAGCAAATGTAGCTGATGATTCGCCAATAATTTTTTAAATTTTTTTCGCGCTTAGGGTGCATCATCTGTCATCCAAGATGAGCACGAAGTGCGCAAAAACGGAGAAAAAGGGCACAATTTTGATGCAAAAATATGAGATTGGGAAATTATTAGGCCAAGGGACATTTGCCAAAGTTTATCATGCAAGAAACCTCAAAACAGGACAGAGTGTTGCTGTGAAGGTAATTGACAAAGAAAAAGTTATGAAAGTTGGATTAATCGATCAAATCAAACGCGAAATCTCAGTTATGAAGCTAATCAGACATCCAAATGTTGTTGAACTTTATGAAGTAATGGCTAGCAAAACAAAAATATATTTTGCAATGGAATATGTGAGAGGTGGTGAATTATTCAATAAGGTTGCTAGAGGTAGGCTTAAGGAATCAGCAGCTCGAAAATATTTCCAACAATTAATTGCGTCTGTGGATTTCTGCCACAGCCGCGGGGTCTATCATCGCGATTTGAAACCTGAAAACATTCTCTTGGACGAAAACGGAGACCTAAAAGTCTCCGATTTTGGCCTGAGTGCATTGTTTGAGTCAAAACGACAAGATGGTCTCCTTCACACGACATGTGGAACTCCAGCATACGCCGCGCCAGAGGTTATAAATAAAAGAGGATATGATGGTGAAAAGGCTGATATTTGGTCATGTGGAGTCATATTGTTTGTTTTGTTAGCTGGTTATCTTCCATTTCATGATTCGAATTTAATGGAAATGTATAAGAAAATTAGTAAAGGAGAATTCAAATGTCCTGAATATTTCCCTCCTGAGGTGAAAAAACTTCTTTCAAGAATTCTTGATCCGAATCCGTGTTCAAGAATTACATTAGCTAAGCTGATGGAGAATCATTGGTTCAAGAGAGGATACAAACAAATTGATAAAACACCAATCCTAGATCAAGTACAAGACAATTCGCCTCGCAGTATTTTCGATATTGTGGATGATTCGGATGCTGAGTGTTCTTCAGGGCGAAAAGAGCAGAGCTCAACAATGAAGCCTACTTGTTTGAATGCTTTTGATATCATTTCTCTTTCTCCTGGTTTTGATCTCTCAAGCTTGTTTGAGAAAGACAAGAGCTATAGATCTGAGGCTAGATTCACAACACAAAAGCCGGCGTCCACTATTGTTTCGAAGCTAGAGGAAGTAGCTTCGATGGGGAGTTTTAAGGTAATTATATCGAAATTATATCATCATCATTTAAAAGTTTAAATTTTTAGAGAATACACGTTTTATTTATTTAATTATGTATTCTAGACGCCCTCTTATGCTCGTACATGCCGGTCCAAGTCTTTTTCTATTAGCCAAGCACGCGATATTATTTTTTGTAATAGATGGTGGTGAGACTTATTGGATCCAGGGCCTCAACCTGCTCTTGTACTATGTTGAATTTGTGTAATCCTGAGTCGAAAATTTCACTAAGGGTGTTCAAGGATAATTTTTAAAAATTATACTTGACCTATACACACAGTATAATTTTTCAGTAAAGAGTGTTCCACTAACCACTCTTGAGCCTATGTGGCTTAGCTTCTGTAACCAACTTATCTAAAAGTTTATCTGACCAACCTTATCCTATGTGGCTTCACCTCTATGATTCTCATCTAAAAGCTTAATCGCTTGAATAGAGAAAACTGTATTTACTTGATTATGTCCTCAACAGGTGAAGAAGAAAGACGGAATGGTAAAAATGCAAGGAAGCAAAGAAGGGAGAAAAGGGCAACTAGCTATTGATGCAGAGATATTTGAGATTACACCAACTTTCCATGTTGTAGAAGTGTCAAAAAAGTCAGGAGACACTGCAGAATATAGGAAGTTTTGTGATCAAGGCTTAAAGCCTTCTTTAAAAGATATAGTTTGGACATGGCAGGGCAGTGAGCAGCAGGAAAATCAAAAAATCAAACCTTAAAAAATAAAAATTTCTGGGGTAAAGTTTCTCTCTTGAGAAGGAAAATGATGTTGTATTTTATATCTTTGCTGCAGCTATTTTTTTTCTAATATAAATCTTTCTTCTTTTGAAAGGGAACCTTTGAGCAACACTCAAGTTGTCTCATGTGACCTATAATTCAGGCGTTTGAGCCGTGGAATCAGCCACTGATTCTTGCATCATGGTAGGCTGCCTACATCACATCCCATGGGTGCGGTCTTTCCCCGAACCCTATGTGAATCTGGGATGCTTTGTGCACCAGGATGTCCTTTATAAACATCATCTTTATTCTTTTGGAACTTTTGAGGGAGCTAATATTTTTATAGTCTTATTGGATGAAGTTTGGTGGCTGCTTTTCTGCTTCATTAGAGTATTAATTTGATTAGACAAGTATATATTATGGCTACAAAGTTGATCAAATATATTTTTCTATATCTAAATTATTTATTCTTGTATTTAATGGTAATCATAGTAATATTCAAAAGGTTAATTCGTTTCTTACTTGTTTATATCATTAACCTCCCCAGTTTCCAGTTATTTGGTTTAGATTGATATTATTGTATAATTATTTTCCTTTGTGGATTGTGTTCCACCATTTTACAACACTAGCAATAAGAGGAAATAGTAAGATTTATTGCAAAGCTAAAACAGAATCAAACAATTTGGATCAAGAGTTTCCAAGAACATGCTTAACATGCAAGAATTTGAATCTTGATCTTCTGTAGCATCCTTACGACATCTTTCATGTCCATCCTTCTTGCAGCAGATTCAATACAACAACCTAGTGCCACTTTTGTTTACCCTCGAATCCGGATAACAATTGAATTTATATGGGGTTTTAAGGATCCGTGAACTAAAAGATACAAAAGGTTTTTAGGTTGAGGAAAATAAAGATAAAGACTCAACAATTGCTGTTAAAGTAAATAATCGCAGAATATAATATTGCTTAGAACAATTGTGCTTGATGATCTACAAGAATTTAGAGAGATCCCCTTTTATACATTCTGATTAAGGGTAAAAATAAGGTAGGTAAATTGATTACATCGTGGATCCCTGTAATTACGCCTTAATGGCCTGAAGTGGTTGAGAAAATCACGTTTGGGCGAGATATCCGGCGACGCTTGGTTATCCGTTACGAGTCCGGCTTCCGACCTTGTGTGTTTCTCCATCCGGTGGTGACTCCTATCGAGCTCTGTAACGGTCTCGAAATGACTCGACCTCGGTTGTAGACGTGGCCGTCGTTCTACCTTGCATCCAGGTCGGGTTCGATGGCCCCGACTTGCTCCGGACCGGACCCAACCCGGTCGGGCTCAAGCAAAAAAGGGTATCACCCAATACAGCATGGTTACACTAACAATGTACAACAATATTTACTATTAACCTATGACCGAACTTAGACTGATTTTTTCTGCTCTTATGTGAACTTAGTTACTAAGGTATCATGTTTCACAGTTTAGCAACTTCCGCATCAGGTCTTGGTTGATGCATACATGTTTATATGTTGCTGATAAAATATGTTATATTTTATTGGATAATTTACTGTACTCGGAATACTATGATGTACGTGCTTCGATAGAAAAATTTTCACATCTTCCTTTGCCCCTCTTTAAAGAATACAATATATCTGGTCCATTAATCATACAAGGGGACTGCAAGTAAATTCATGAAACAAAGATTTATAGATAATAGATTTTAGAAACAATTATATTGATAGGTTTATTGCATAAAAATAGGGAGAAAAAAGAATGAGCGAGAAAGAGAAGGTGAAAACTTCTGCTGTAATTGAGGGTTGAGTTGCAGAGAAACTGAAGTTCATTTCTATATTTCTAATAGTACATTACATTTTTATTAAAGACACAATATTATTTTAAGTTTCCTTTTCCTATCCCATCATCCAGAAAAGCAATGTACCTTACGACCAATTTCATTACTTTTCAAATATAATTATATATATAAAAAATATAGTTATTTAGTGGAGCAAGTGATTATGTCATCAGTAATTATTATGTTTTTTTTTGAAGGGAAAAAATCTATGTTATGAAATTGGTATGAAGTTTAGGAGATGCGATGTCTCATCTACCAAGAACTATAAGTTTAAATAATCATGAAGTTCGCTACTGTCCGACTTTTGATCATAGTAGATGTTTAATCATGGTGATAGTATATGTCTAGGATATAACTGTTGTAACCATCTGACCGGTCGTTTTGAGCTCTAGTGCATAGTTCGGCAGCTTGAGGCCATGAGTTGCTTCACTACAGATATTATGACTTGTACGCATGGTCGGAACTGAATTCCGGGAAGTTCGAGGTTGATTTGGGAAGAGAATTCTCATTTCGGAATCTTTAAGTTGGAAGAATTTGCTAAGATCGAATTTTTGAGTAAACGACCTCGGAATCAGGATTTAAAAGTTTCAGCAGGTTCGTATGATGATTTCGGACTTGGGCGTATGCCCGGATCGAGTTTTGGATGACCAGGGAGCGTTTAGACGCCTATTGTGGAAGTTAGCATTTTGGAAGAATTTCATAAATTTGGGTTGAAGTGCATTTCAATGCTACCGATGTCCGTTTGGGATTCCGAGTTTGGGATAGCTCCGTATGGTGATTCTGGTATTGGAAACGCGATCGGAAGTGGATTTGGAGGTCCGTAGGTCATTTTGGAGTCATTTGGCTAAAGTTAGAAATTTGAAGGTTTTTGAGAAGTTTGACCGGAAGTGGACTTTTTGATATCGGGGTCGGATCCCGATTCTGGAAGTTAGAGTAGGTCCGTAATATCAAATATGACTTGTGTGCAAAATTTGAGGTCAATCGGATGTGATTTGATTTCGGCATCGAATGAAGAAGTTCGAAGTTCGAAGTTCTAAGGTTCATCAAGTTTGAAATGGAGTGTGAATTGTGATTTTAGCGTTGTTTGATGTGATTTGAGGCTTCGAGCAGGTCCGTGTTATGTTATGGGACTGGTTTGTGTGATTGGATGAGGTCCCGGGGGCCTCGGGTGGATTTCGGGTGATTAACGGATCGAATTTGGAGTTAGAAGAAGAATTGAGCAGTTGCCTTCTAGTGTAATCGCACCTGCGAGGCTTGGGCCGCAGGTGCGGAGCCGCAGAAGCGGCCCTGTGGTCGCATATGCGATTTTGGTAGGGGTAGAGCTGGGACCGCAGATGCGGTCATCCCGCCGCAAAAGCGGGACCACACCTGCAAAAGAGAAGGTGCAGATGCGGAGTTGAGGGGCTGGAGGAGGACCGCAGAAGCAGATTATAGGCCGCACCCGCGGAACTGCAGAAGCGGTCAAGTAACCGCAGGTGCGAGGGTCGCTGGGCAGTGAGGTTCCTTTAAAGTGAGGGTTTGGCTCATTTCTACTCCATTCTTCCATGGGAGCTGATTTTGGAGCAACCTTGAGGTGCCATTTTCATCACCAAGCATGAGGTAAGTGGTTTATACTAGTTTTGAGTTAAATACATGATTATATATGGATTTGAACATGGAAATTAGTGGAAAAATTGGGATTTTAAGAAAAACCTAGAAATTTGTATTCTTGGATTTTGACCATGATTTTGGATATGAAATTGAGAGTAAATTATATATTTGAATTCGTGAGGTTATGGGTAAACTTTATCTTCAAAAAATTTCGGAATCCGGGCACGTGGGCCTGAGGGTGATTTTTATCGACTTTTGATCGGGGTTAGAAATTGTTATAAATTGGATTATAATGAGTATTCGAGCGTATATTAATTTTGTATTATTGGCTAGTTTTGGAGCGTTGAGCATCGGTTTGAGTCGTCGGAAGGGCTTGGAAGCCGGTTATGGAGCTTCGGAGCGAGGTGAGTCTTCGTTCTAACCTTGTAAGAGGGAATTAACTCCATGGGTAAAATAATTAAATATGTGCTCCTATTTCTGGGGCTACGCACGCACGAGGTGACGAGAGTCCGTGCGTAGCTACTATTATGCCTATGTCCGGGTACTATGTTACATCATGCTTTATTGATATTGTTCTTGATTGATGTTATTGTTTGCCTTGAGAATAAATAAGATTTGAGGTTGCGTAATAATTGCGTTGAAAGGTATTTTAGTTGAGGAATTTAAGAATTTAAGTGCTTCCATTAAACTTAGTACTATAAAAAAGAATTGAGGAATCTTATAATAACTTAAGAAATCTATGTGTAACCGAGTCGCATGTATGTTTCGCGAGTGGGAAAATTACCTTAAAAGCTTCACGTTGAATTGTCTCTGTTTTTGAAAAGAGTCAAGAAAAGGATTTTGATTTATTAATAAATTTATATTGGACCGCGTCGTATGTATGATTCGCGAGCGGGGTTTTTACTTCTACTACTCTCATGGGAGAGGGCCGGTCGCCTCGGCAGGTTAATAGATGCATCTATGGTTCGTGCTATTTGACCCTCTGGAAGTGCACAATTTACTTTTATGTTAGATCGGGCTGTACACCTCGTCATATATATATATATATATATATATATATATATATATATATACATATATATATATATAATTATATATATATATATAATTAAATATATATATATTTATATATATATATATATATATTTAATTATATATATATATATACTATTCTCATGAAATCGTGCGTGACATTTGGCTAGAAGCCAGTGAATCTGGGGGATTTTTTCCTTATTTGAATTATGACAACTTCCTTAATGAAATCCACTATATCTATTTATATGGTCCGGCTACGGAGGGAACTTGCTAGTTGAGAGCTTGAGTAAAATTATAAAGAGGAGAATTGTATCACGTGTTTTATACTTATTATTTCATATATTTACCCTGTTTCATGTTTATTCTCCCCATTACTGTACCGATATTATTGGACCACCAGTAAGTGTCGGAGTCGACCCCTCGTCACTACTTCTTCGAGGTTAGACTGGATACTTACTGGGTACGCGTAGTTTTCGTACTCATACTATACTTGCTATGCATTTTTGACAGGCACATGTATCTCTAGTAGCCTAGTGGGCGTAGCAGCATGGTTGATACGGAGACTTAGGTGAGCTGCATCTCTCGAGACGATCCGTAGCCAGCAGAGTCTCTTTCAGAGTATTGTATTTACTTTCTGTCCAAATTTGTATTCCGGATAGTTATTGTACTTCATTTGATTTCCTAGTGATTGCTCATGTACTTGTAACATCGGGTTCTGATGATTATGGGATATTCAGTATTGAAATTGTAAACACTTTTATTGTTTCTGTGAAGATTACTTTTTACTAGTTAAATTAAAAGAAATTATGGTTTCAAAAATATTCAAATGACAGTTTAATTAATCATTCAATGTTGGCTTGCCTGACCGAGGTGTCCGGCACCATAATGACCTTTAATGGATTTTGGATCGTGACAATTGTGAAAGTTTATTTTGTTGCATATCATAGAATTTGTTACTGATTTATGTACTTGAGAACCCTCTTTATTTAAACTTTTGTGTTTAGTTTTTTTTTAATTGAGAATATTGTCGGTCTTTGTTCTCTAAATAT